AGCTTCTGACGCTTCTTGAGGAACCTGAGGAACACACACACACACGCTCAACACACGCGGAGACGATCGGCCCTATACGCTCACTACGCAAGTTACGTAGGGCCCCGTAATTTACGCAACGCCTCGCCTCCCCCTCGTGTCAAAGCGGCGCGGCACTTTCAATCTGCTGCAGAGACGAGGAAAAGTAGGAAAGAAAGTGAGCAAGATAAGGGTAAGTGATGGATTTTATAAAGCTGATGCTGAAATGGTGGCTGCTGCATTGTGATTTGTCTATTTAATTCGGCATTTCATAAGAGCTTTGAAGACGTGAAACAACAGAGTTGCGCACGGTGTTATCGTGGGCAATTCAAAAGACCAGAATAGTTCGAGATACCTTATTATCCGAATTGTTCCGCAGAGGGGCTGAATAAAAATGCAAGCTCATTTTCTGACAGGAGGTGGCGCTGAAGCGCAGAAATACAGAGGAAGCCAAAACAGTATTTACATGTTTGTTTGCACATATTTATTTTTACAAGCCAATCTAGAAAAGATTATTATGAGCAATAATAATTAATAATAATAATTTAAATAATAATAATTTTCATAATTAATATTTATTTATTTAACTTTATTAAAGCATTAATCTTAATTTTTTTATATATTTCTCAGAAAGTAATGGTCAAACATTTAAAATTCAACAAAAAAAAAAAGTGTATATATGAAATATGGGCTTATCTTCATATTTATATCATGAAAGAGAAATTTTCTAAAAATGTACAATACAGTGTCGATGTGTGTATTGGAGGCTGGGAGGTGGTGCTTAGGTGAAACCGCAGGTAGTGGGGGCACCTTTTGAAAATCTGCTTAGGGCCCCAAAACGCTAGGATCGGCTCTGAACACACGGCATGATGGGAGTGATCCGGGACAGCTGGATGAAGCGTGTGTGTGAGAATGTGTGTTTGCGGAGATGTTCTCAGTCTGCAGAACACAGACGCTTTAATGCCTCTAACGCTGGTTTGTGTTTCTAATCGTGATCAGACTGACCTGTCTCTGTCTCTGTGCTGAAGAGCGTCAGACAGATTTCTGCTCAGCACATCGTGTCTCAGTCTGTCTGCCAGAGACGAGCAGCTTCCTGATTCCCTACGGGTCAAAAACAACAGCAATCATGAGCAAAACTCATCAAATATGAGACTCAGTTTCAGCCGTAAGCAGCTCTACAGAACAGAGTCATGACTCAGATCAGACACAGATCCATTTCAGACACACACCTGTTTGTGTTCCATGTGTGTGTGTGTGTGCGCGCGCGTGTGTGTGTTACCCGACTCTGGGTCCTAGTGCGTCTACGAGTGACAGCAGTTCTCCTTCAGGTACTGTAGGAAGCAGGAGCCGCAGGACTTTGTGGAGATCAGGAACAGACATCAGAGACTGTTTGACCAACGCTGCTGTAAACTCCAGATCCTTAAACACACACACACACACACACACACACACACACACACAC